CCCCCCGCCCCGCTTCCCTAGACTTGGCTTTTCTTGGCTTTGGGAGAAGGCCTCATTAGTTTACATTTCCTGTGGACTGTGAACCCATGAAGGTAGGAGCAGTTTCTTATTTATCTCTGCTTCCCCACTGCCTTACATAGGCCTTTGTAAATGTTTTTTTTTAAACCGCTTTATTGAGATAATTCTTCACATACCATATACAATTGACCTATTTAAAGTGTACAGTTTGATGGTTTTAGTATACTCCCAGAGATGTGCAACTGTTGTCACAATCAATTTTAGAATGCTTTCATCATCCCCAAAAGAAACCCTGTAGCTGTCATTCCCCACAATCCTTCCATCCCCTCTGCCCTGGGCAACCCCCATCTGCCTTCTGTCACTATGGATTTGCCTTGGTAAATGCTCTTGTGGAACGTTACCCACTTCCCAGGCTGCTAGAGCACTTGTCTCTTGCCCTGTGCCCTCTACTGGCCCAGGCTTCCCACCTTTTAGGACGACCTGCCCACCTGAGATGGGTCCCCTTTGGGGTGATCTGTATATGGAAGTCTTGGCCAAGTGAGGTGGATGCTGGCAGGCTCCCCGAGTAGATGTTTGTTGAGTGAATAACGATGCTGATTTCGGGCCAGGTTCTGAGGGACTTGTGCCAGTCGCAGGTCTCCCACTGCCCCTTTTGAGGAAAGGGCAGGTAGGTGTAGCTGATAATGTGAAGTCGCCCCAAAGCCCTGCAGCCAGAAATGAGGAGGGTGATGTACGATCAAAGCCAGACAGAAAAGGAAGAGACACGGCCTTGGGGTCTAACCTCCTGATTTTACAGGTCAGGGAACTGCAGGCCCAGCGGCCATGTGGGGGAGTCACCTGGCCGGGGTACACACGGGGTCGTCCCCCAGCACAGACCTCTCCGTCCTGTGTGCAGAGAGAGGCCAAGTTTGCTCGCCTGCCTGGGGGATGGCTGGGTGCCGCTGGCGTTTGCTGAGAAAACAGACCTCTATTCTCTTTGCTTCTGCTTTCCCAGGCAGCATTTCATTCCACATACCCCATGGTCCTTCTGAGTCATGTCCCTCTAACTCTTGGTCCCCTGCCAGCACCCACTCCCCTGTTGCTTGCTTTCTTTTCTTTTTTAAATGTTTTTTCCTGCCTATAGACATTAGTATATCTTTTTTTAAAAATTAATTTGTTTATTTATTTATGGCTGTGTTGGGTCTTCATTGCTGCGTGTGGGCTTTCTCTAGTCGCAGGGTACGGGGGCTACTCTTCTTTGCGGTGTGCAGGCTTCTCACTGCTGTGGCTTTTCTTTGTTGTGGAGCACGGGCTCTAGGCGTGCGGGCTTCAGTAGTTGTGGCATGTGGGCTCAGTAGTTGTGGCGCACGGGCTTAGTTGCTCCGCGGTGTGGGATCTTCCCGGACCAGGGCTCGAACCCGTGTCCCTTGTGCTGGCAGGCAGTTTCTTAACCACTGCGCCACCAGGGAAGCCCCCCCCCCCCCATGTTTCATCAGCGCCAGTCTCGCTTCTTTCCTTCAGCCCACTCCATACCCCTTGCCCGAAGCCCTTCTTTCTGTTCACAGGGAAAAGCCAGTGCTTCCCCTGGGGGCCTGAGGACCCTGCAGAAGCCAAGAAAAGAGGCTCACCCCCCATGCTCTGTGACCTCTGGCAAGTGACCTTCCCTCTGTGAGTCACACACTACACAGCTTTTCAAAATGAGGTGGTGTGACAGGGCCTCCCAGTTTGGAAATGTTGAATAAAAAGCATGCTAAGAGGACCCCTAGGGCTTACCCGGAGATAGTCTCTGTGTGTAACTAGCAGGCAGAGGGTTTGGGCTTTAATTTGTGTTGCTGCCCTCCAAAGGGCAGTGGACACATTGGCCTGGTTGTGCCTTTCCCAGCCCTTTCTCAGGAGCTGGGTATGGCTAAAAAAAGGGAGGTGGAGTCTTGAGTGTCTGTCTTTATCTTTTAGCTCCTGTTGAACTCCTACTGCCAGTATCTGAGGGGACAGGGGGACGCTTTGGATATAAAAAATATAAAAATAGCCAGCATTTATTAAGTACTTCTAGGCCACACGCTGTGCTCAGGTTTTTTTTTTTTTTTTCCTCATGCAATTTTTGAGATAATTCATATACCATAAAATTCACTCTTTAAAAAATATTTATTTATTTATTTATTTATTTACTTGCTTATTTTGGCTGCTCCAGGTCTTAGTCAGCACGTGGACTCCTAGTTGTGGCAGGCATGTGGGATCTAGTTGCCTGACCAGGGATCGAACCTGGCCCCCCTGCATTGGGAGTGTGGAGTCTTACCCACTGGACCACAAGGGAAGTCCCAAAATTCACTCATTTAAAGCATACGATTTAGTAATTTTTAGCATACTCACAAGTTCATGCAGCTGGCTCCACTGTCTAATTCCAGAACACTTTCATCACCCCCAAAGAAACCCCATACCTGTTAGCAGCCACTCCCCATTTCCTGCTCCCTCCACATCCTGGCTACCACTCATCTGCTTTCTGCTTCTGTGGAGTTCCTTATTTTGGACGTTTCATACAAGTGGAATCATGCAGTTTGTGGTCTTTTGCGTCTGTCTGCTTTCACTTAAAGCAGAAGGTCTTTAAGTGGAAGGTTCAGCCATGTTGCAGCGTGTCAGTACTTCATGCCTTTTTATTCTGAATGACGTTACATCGTTTGGATGGGCCACGTTTTCTTTATCCATTCATCTGCTATGGACATTGGGGTTGTTTCTACCTTCCGGCTATTGTGTGTAGTGCTGCTGTGAACGGTCATGTCCAAGTGTTTACTTGAGCACCTGCTTCCAGTTTTCTTGGGGTTGTATATACCTAGGAGTGGAATTCTGGGTCATAGGGATTTCTAAGCTTAACCTTTTGAGGAACTGCCAGACTCTTCCCCAGTAGCCGCGCTGTATTGCATTCCTGTGCTGGGCTGTGTTTTACTTGGATTGTCTCTTCAGTCCTCACATAAGATTCATGAGGTGTAGATATAATTATCATCACTCTCACCTTTCAAATGGGAATATAGAAACTCGCAGGGTTTTCAGCCCAGGGTCATACAACCAGCGAGTTGGTGATTCTTTGGCCAGTGCTAATGATGATCGCTAAAGCAGTGTCTCTGCTCCAGCCCCTGTTCTGTACCATGAGGATGAGGGGCTTTGACTGTGCTGGTCACATGATATCCCTAGTGCCTGCACATATTGGCACTCGCATGGTTGTGAAGAAAATGCCATTTTCCCCTGATCCTGGTGGCTTGATCAGAAACTTCAGGGGAGGTGTCTCCGGTGTTTCAGACTCCTGCTGGGTTTGCATTCTCCCCCCACACCAGATGCTACAGACCTGCCAGGAGGCTCTCCAACATCTCTCTTGGCAACTTGGCCTGGGGCTGGGGAATGGGATGCATGGAGTGTGTGGGGAGCAGAGGTGGATTCTTTTTCCAGCGAGCGCTTGTCAGCTTGTCATTAACTTGACCGTTGAAACTGTCCAAGGCCACTGATGACCTGCCCTCCTTTTTCTCCTCCAGGCAAAACCCATTTATGGTGGCTGGCTGCTCCTGGCTCCAGATGGGACTGACTTTGATAACCCAGTGCACCGGTCTCGGGTAAGGGCATCGGAGTGAATTCTTAGGGTGGAGAATTCACCAAGAGAGGGGCCCACCTAAGGCAGATTGACCGAGTGGAGGACGGAGATGGGGGGTTGAATGGTGGATCATGGGATGGTGGATCAGCAGGGAACCCCTACCTGTTTGGTGAACTTGCAGGTCCCAGTAGTTATGCCTCGCCCTCCATTCAAAAGAGATGCACTCGCATGGTGCTACCTGTTTTGTGGGTCAGCTCCACTCTAGAAACAGTTAAATGGAAAAGACGGAAGGGCAGTTCAGCGCACATTTGCATTATGCTAATTAGGCTCCGAGTTCTTTCAGGGCCCATGTTCTGCTTTCTGTAGCCCCCCCTCTTTCCCCTCCCTTCCTCCCCAGCTGGGAGCTCAGCAGATGAGCAGGAGTGAGGGGAGGCAGGCCTTAAGGGCCAACTTTGCTTGCGTCCCATCTCTCCTGGGCACCCAGCCCTGGGTGGGTCCTGCTGGACACAGGCTACTGCTTGGCCAGGTCTCAGCTGGAGCAGCGAGATGGTCAAACCAGCATCGTCCCGGGTCAGTGGCTTGTTCCTCTGTCAGGGAGCCCCTCTGGATTTGACTCCAATTAAAACATGCTTTCTTTTTCCACACGCTTTCCTCCAGGTACCGCCGCCTCCCCCCTTCCCCAGGGCCTCTGCCCTGCCTCTGGGTCTCTGCTGCCCCCAGCCTGAATGTTACACTCTGGGGTGGGGCCTTGGTACCCCACAGAACTTGCTTTGTATCTGGGGTCTTTGGGCTTCCTTCCAGAATGGGTTTTAACTTAAAAAACAACAAATAGGAGCCTTGGAAATATTTCTTGGGAAGAGTCCGGGTGGCTCAGCCTCTACAGGTCCTCTTTGCAAGGCCCTGTGAGTGCCCTGTTCCTGCCAGCCGGGCGTGAGGACAGCCAGAGCGACTGTGTTCCAGTGGCTGCAGTAACCAGGGAGCAGCCCTCTTTCCTCTTTTGTATTTAGGTCATACAGAATTGCCATTTCCAGCTTCTGATGGGAAAATCATTATTACAAATGATATAATTCTGGCCCAAAGCAAAGAGACATGATATTTTAGTTAGTTCTTGTGGCCTTATTGCCAGTAAAAGTATGAATTTTGTTGGGCTTTTGGAAATGTTGAAAATAGGTCATGGATCTTCATGATGATTTTTGGGATTTGGGGACCAGCAGTCTCACGTTCTAGACATTTCCCCCCCCACAAAAAGGAAGGGCCTTTCCATTCCACTGTCAGTGCCATTGGACCTCCATCAGCCCCTGGTGGCCTAGCCTTTGGGTGGAGGGCAGCGAGGGGGCAGGGGCACCCTTTGCCGGCCACTCCCTCCCTGGACGTCAGAGTTGTTCCCACTGGCCTCCCTCCTCAGTTTTGAGTTTTGTTACTTCTGTCCCCCTCAGTGAATACTGGTGCCCGGCTGGCTTTTTCCCTTTTTCAACCTCCCTGTGGGTCATTGGAACAACCCTTTTATACCGTTTTTCCAGATTTTTTCAGAAGTGGGGAATCAGTGCTTGGCATTCTCAGGTTATCCCGTATCATGTCAGGTAATTCATCAAATTAATATTGGCACATTATTAGTAATGAGCTCTGTGCTGGGTACATAAAGAATACAAAACGGTGACCTGGACATTGCCTCTGCTCCTTTTTCTGAGGAGCTTGCAGATTAAAATAGATCAGGCATCTTTTAAAATCTCAGTGATCGGGCACACTGGGTGGTTTGGGGCTCTCCACTGGCCCAGTCCTGGCTGACGAGGCACTGTTCTACCCCTGGGCCCCAGAAGTGGAAGCTGTGCAGCCAGCGTGCCTCAGAGGCAGGCTTGTCAGGCGCAGGGGCTCGGCAAGTGGAGACGGGCCAGAACCCTCCCGACACCCTCTGTGTTCCGTTGCAGAAATGGCAGCGCCGGTTCTTCATCCTCTACGAGCACGGCCTCTTGCGCTACGCCCTGGATGAGATGGTGAGTGTCCTCCTCCGCCCCGCCCCTCTCCTGCCCTGGCCTTCGCCAGGCCCCTTCGTCGGCGGTGGCGTCGGCCTTGTGGCAGCTGTGTGCTCTTGCTTCGGCTTCTGCTCGGGAGGCTGGAGATGTTGAAGCCCGTGTGGCAGCTGGTTGCAGCAGCCCTCACAGCCCCGACCTTTGCCTCGAGGCACCTTCAGTGGCCACGGGTGAGAGTCAGGGTGAGGGAGGAAGTCACTTCTGTTCAGGGTGGTAGGAGCGCCTGGTTAGAGAGAAGCGGAGGAGGTTGCGGGCCCGCGGGAGCAGGTGCAGCCGCCCTGGGTGGGCAGGTGCCAGCTGACCCCTGCGGATCCGAGCGTAGTGCAGGGCTCCTCTCAGGTCCGTTGCTGGAATTGGTGTCGCTCATCGTATTTGATGTTCAGAGGTCTGGCCACAGGGTTAGTGTTCTGGTCACTAAGCCAGGGTGTACAGGCTCCATCCTGTCCTGTCACCCACCTGGTTTGTTTCCTGGGCTGGATGAGTATTTACCAACCAGGTAGAATATTCTGGCTTTTCTTCTTCCACCCATTTTGTCTCCTGACTTTTTTCTAAAGGAGATCAGTCTGTCCTAACTAATCTAAAGTATGACTGAATTCCAAGCTTTATAAAGGACTGAAGGTGGAAGCTTTGAGTGCCTTTTCCTGTTCCATTGGCGTGTGTGTGCGTGCGTACCTTTGTGTGGGCAGCATTGTTAAACTGGGACTGTCCAAGAATATCTGTTCACACCGTGTAAGACAGGTTGGCCCCACCCCTTTCAGAGTTCATTTCCTTGCTGCAGGGGTGAGAGCAGGGTTCTGGAAGTGTGAGCACAGCACCTTGTAGTCTGTTGGGACACTTGGATGTTCGGTGGTTATCACAGCTGATACGTGACCAGGCCATCAGTGTTTCCGTTTCCATATGGGGTCTTAATCTTTGTGATGCGTTTTCCGTTTTGTTTGTGGGACAAGTTAATGGGTATGATATCTAGGAATGGGAATTAATAGGTATGATACCTAGTTCTGTGTTGACTATTGCCTCATTGGTTCCTTCAAAAAAAGAATTTTCTTCTTTTTCATTCTTTCTGATGAGCATATTATTTGTACAACGCGGGTGGTCCACAGAGGGTTTTTGCCATGGAAACATCTGTGGTCCAGAGTAGTTTGAGGCGACTGGGTTGGTACCACCGGTGGTGGTAGAATTTGCTAGAGGCAGGAGCAGTGGGGCGGATTCACCTGGACACTCATTTCCTTTGGTGACTCAGCACTGCCCTCTGTGTTCTCCTGACTTGGCCGTCATGCCAGCAGGCGCCCTGGGGCGGGAGGTGGGCTCCGACCTGCCTGGAGGTTTACTTTGTCCTCCCTGTGCCTGTCTGACTGCTGTTAAGTCCCGCAAAGACTAACCATAGAGAAGGGGCCTTGGAGGTCACTGGACGACATCCAGGCTGGGCCGGACCATGAACCAGCCCAAAGAACAGAATTGCCTGGACTCGGCTTGGAGGCTGATTCTTCTGGTCAGGAAACCTTTCTTTAGGTCCAGCTGGAGTCCGGTATAGTGCATGGTTCTCTTCAGCTGCATGAGCATGAGGGCGGCTGCTGGGCACAAATGCATAGCGCACGCTGGTCCGAGAGCTGCTCCCGCACGACTGGGACTGTGAGCCGTGGGCGACACCCGGCCGTGCCTTCCGGCCTCCCCACAACCTTCCCATCCTGTGCTGCTCGGGCGGAGGTGGGACGTGCCAGCCGTGGAGAAGAAGGAAGCCGGGGAAAACCAGGGCTGCGGAGAGGGTGCTTGGGGTGCCCAGGGTGCAGGGATGGGCGCAGGTCACTCTGGCAGATCCCCGTGGGGAGGAAGAGACTGACCGGTGCTGCTCTGTGGCCCAGACTGCAGTGCAGGGACACGGCCCTCCCGAGGTGAAGGGACATCATTTCTGTGAGTGACAGGAAAGAGTAGCAGTTGTGTTGAAATACCTTTAGAGGGGCGTGGTTTTCCCTGTTGCCTTAGGAAGGCCCCGTGGGGGAGGTTCTGAGGAAGCCTCCGGGCCGTGTGCGCGAGGAGGCTGCTGTGGGACAGTCAGGTGCTGGCCGCCCGGTGGTCGGCGTTGGCGGCCGTTGCCATGGGGCTTGAGGGTGGGCTCCTTCTTGTGGGGCTGGAGCGGCCTCTCCCACCCTGTGGTCTGCGTCAGGCCTTGTTCTTCGTGGCCGCTCCCCAACCCAGAGGCCAGTTTTCCTGAAGCCTAGACTCCCGCCTCCACCTGGAGCAGAACACCAAGCGTGCAGACTTGTGTGCGAACCAAGTTCCAGCCGTGCCAGAATTTTCCTCTCTGAGTACCTAGAAGTGGAGCCGTGGTCCTCAACTGGGCACCTTGTGCCTCCCGGGGCTGCCCGGCAATGTCTGGAGTCATCTTTGAGTCTCACAGCTGCATGAGGGTGCAGGGGGGCAGAGGTGCTATTGGCACCTAGTGGGTGGAGGCCATGGTGCTGCGAAACAGAGTGTGATGCCCAGGATGGCCCCACAGCAGAATGTGATCCGGCCCCAAGTCCACAGTGCTGGGCTGAGAGACCCTGTGTGACCTGGTCCGTGGCCTACTTTTTTTTTTTTTTTTTTTTTTTTTTTTGTGGTATGTGGGCCTCTCACTGTTGTGGCCTCTCCCGTTGTGGAGCACAGGCTCCGGACGA